AAAAGAAAGAAATAACAGTTAAATGTAAAGTGCACTGGATTGGATCTTTGATATCCGATATCAAAATTAAGATAGTAGATAGGTATCGGACCGTTGCCTCTGTAATCCCTAAACACTAGCATTTATTTATTTCATGATCTAATTTTGTTTTTTTGAGAGCAGAATGAATATGAATATACTAACATGTGAAAGTACATTTAATTAAGCGAGAAAATGTTATTTTTAGTGCTACAATAGACTAGTTTTTCTTAGTTTTTTTAGAGCCGTATTAGTTATGCAAAAAAACTGAGATTAGTTACTTAAATATTTTTTAATCCCCATTTTATTTTAATCAGAATAATTATAAGAAAAATACTGTAATACAATTTGAAGTCCATTTCTCGCAGTCCTCTTTATTTATTTATTTATTTTTTTTACCGCAATGTCTCAGGGTCCAGCTGGTTATACACATGGTGCTACAAGGCTATTTCCTTAAATAAAGACAGCCAAGCAAATGGTCTGCTGCAAGGCTGACGCTATACTGTATATCTGAGTTAAGATTAGTAGACTCAAGTTGGGATAACATGATTGATTATGATGAATTGATTATTTAAATAACTTTCTTAAATAACGCACAGACAAATGGATGGAAGAGTTTTTCACTTGAAGATAGAAAAAACAGAGCAGTTTAGTTTTAACAACTTCACAACCCTACAGATAAGGTCATATATCCATTACACTAACATCAACAGGAAAGAAAAAAAAAATACATATATATATAAAAAAACAGGTGGATTCAAAGATGCTTTATTTGATTCAAAGGATACATTTCAACCCAACTGCTAAATATGTTTTGATGCCTTGGGTCAGCTGATCAGCTGCTCCAGGAGGCACCGAACTCTAAAAGGACTTCAGGTGCCTCCTGGTGAGGGGGGCAGAGCCTTTAGAGCTGCTGCTTCAAGGGTATGGAATGATCCTTCTGTTAAAATTAGACAAGTCTATTTAAATTAAAAAACCTTCAAAAACATACATCTATTCCTTGGCTTTTAGCACGCCGTGAAACTTTTTCTATTTTGACTCTGTTTTGTTATTTTGATTCTTTTATTGTTTGTTTTTATGGTTTTTACTTGTTTTATTTTTATTTTTTCTTCCTTTATATGTGCAGCACATGGCTGTAGCCATGGTTGCCTTAAAGTGCTTTATGAATAAATAAATAAAGTAGTAGTATAGACATACAGGTGTTGAATAATAATCAGGTCATGTTTTAGTGTATAAGTCTGAGCAGATCATCTACCTATTGAAAGGTTTCAGATTGGCCAGGTCCATGCGGCTTAAACTGGACTTCAGTCGATTCCTGTATTGGGTTTTGCTTCACGTCTTAATTAATTACTATTTTTCAAGCAAAATCAATAGATCCTGTGGGCCTGCCATGTGATGGGTGCCGTTTTAACAGGAAGAAGGAAAAGCTTATTTTTTCTGTAACCCAGAGAGCACCATGCATCATGGTTTCATGTATGTGAGTCTGTGCGTATAATTTCCGAAGCTTACAGACCAAAAATAATTTAAGTAAATGGAGATCAGTTATGACCAAACAGACACTCGGTCGTGCATAATTATCTGAGGAGAGACTGCGTGTAAGACCTCAACAGCACGCTAGAAAATGAGCTCAATTTCAGCTTTCATTTATTTAGCAATCAGGACAAATAGCTTTTCCGGGTTGCATTTCTCAGGAGAGATCAATAAAATCCCATCTGCTCTGTGGCTGAGTTGTATCTCTACTACTACTCCATTCTAAACAGCATGTTTGTTACATCTGCATGCACATAAAAATAAAATGATTTCCATCAACCCAGTGGAGCTAGTAAAACTCCACTCACCTGTAATACTCAATGAAAGCAGTCTGGTCGGCAATGGCTGCCAAGTCAATCTTGGTTCTGTTGATATCTGGCAGAGCCGTCAGCTCACGAATGATGTTGTTAGCCATTAGCTGAAGGAAGCGCAGGGCCTGGAGGTAATCAGTCCTTGAAGCAAAAATCTCATCCAGCCTTTCTAGGTGTTGTTTAAGTCCAGTTTTCACATTGCTTTGAGTTCCAGCAACCTAAGAATGCAGAAAAATGTGGATGAAAGGGCAATCACACAGGAGAAAAAAGAGAGACAAAAGAAGACTGTTGAAACAGGCAAAGTACAATCCCACTGACATAACAGCATGCACAAATTAAGATTAAATCAGAGCTATAAAGAAATCTGATTACAAGCAGATAGTACGCTATAGGAGCTAAAAGGGCCATTTGAAATCAGATCTTCTTAATTGTGTGTTTTATTGGGGTAAATTATATAAGGATGTAAACCTAATAACACTGGGAAGACTGTTGTTATTCAAGTCTCTGATTAAAAGAGGAGATAAACAAGAAGCATGACTAAACGAAGTAAATAGATTTTATTTTATTCTTAAACAAAGACAAAGGAATGGCACTTTTGCCTGCTGCTTTACTGCAACGGATCTGAACATATGACGTGGAAGAAAAAGCTAAAATAGTATCTGCAATTAAAGGAATCCTTATTATGTAGCATTGTCTGAAAAGATCATTCTCTTAAATGGTCTTAGAACATTAACACCAAAATATGTCATATTAGGTCACCATAGTTAGCACAGATAGCACAGTCAGCTCAGAGTTACATAAGCCTGTGGTTGAACATTGTTCCATTCTAGCTCTTACCCAAATAAAAAAAAAAAAAAGGTTGCACCCACATTGCTGCTTTAAGTTCCAACACAAAAGCACATTTGCAACACAATTTAAAACCCTTTTCTATCTGTTGCAGAAGACCGATGCACAACAGATGCATTAATCCTAGAGAGGCAACAAGAAACAGGTGACTAACCCCAAACAACAAAAGCTAGGAATCTGTTTTATGTGTCTTAAACAGGCTGTTTCAACAATTACACCCTTTGTTGTGGAAATTTTTAAGAAAATGGGACTTAGTTGGCTACTTTCAGTATCTGTGATCTGTTTAAACATACAGCTGGAAGAAGAATGACATTTTTTAAAAAGATTCAGGCACAGAAACTAATTATTTGATGAGGAATGTTGACACTTTTGTTTTATGCAACTGAAAAGTCTGAACCTTCCTTTCATGGCGCTTACTGGATTTGAAAATATCAACAGCCTTTTTAAAATCTTACAATTTGGATCCATATCTACTTATTATAAAAGAAATACACAAAACTTCCTGTTAGCAATGTTAACTGTGGTAATGATACTAATCATTAAAGTGTAACTCACCCCAAAATCCATTTTATGCCAGATAAACTGTATAAAAAAGGTACCTTGTGCTATTTTAATGTTTGTCTGCATTTGCTTACCTTTAAATACGAACTTGCTTCATTTTGCAACATTTGTCTCAAATCTATCTTAGTGCTGCCCTTGTAATTTTAAACACTGACTATAGTACATGAATTTACCCTTTGGTCACGATAGCCTCATATTTGGTTGTAAAAGCAACCTTCTCAAACACACAGCTCCCGTGGTGAATCATCCTGTCCCCCACCACCTTTGTAGCACTCGCTTTAGACATTACCGAGTCAGGGCCTCCAGCTAGCAGCTCGAAAGGCTTCAGTATACTGGGCTACACAAGGCATCACTCTACCTGCAGCGATTAGGTCAATCTCAAAAGATCTATCTGTGCAGAGAAGGACATCTGTGTAACCAGGTCTTGCTTTGTTTTTATTGTAAAAGACACATTATGCAAAGACATTTTAAGTCTGATTTGAAACCCCACTCTACTAGATAACCAATTGAACTGTTGTTAAAAAAAATCTGCTGATTTTATTTTCATTCCCATTTTTTTGGTTGGAACTTTTACAGAAGAAATTTCAGGGTTCTTTATCGATTTTGTTTTATACAAAAACCCTGGTAATGCTAATAAAAAGAATTGCATGGTTCACCACACTGAATAAAACTGACAATGTTGCAAAAAAGGTTCATATAAAAAAAAATTAAAAAAATATATTATCAGAGGTTGCTTAAGAACAGTATAATGTGCTCATTTATGAAGTTATTTAAGTAAGCTAGTTGGAATTAATAGTAGTGATCGCCACATGCCTGCAACATTGATCACATGTTGACTCATTTCAACACAAACCACATCTACACTGTATAATAAAACTTTCTAATGGTGCATTCATTAAAAAGATGTTTTAGTGGAGTCAGAGCTCACTCTTTTCCTTGTACATAACAATTCATTCTGTTGTTTTTTTTAAATCCATGTAGTGCAACTCCTTTATATTCATTTTTTACATGTTGACAACTCTGCAAAAGCGATGACATCTTACATGTAGTGTCTGTCTCCCAAAAGACTGCTGGATTAGCAGTTTTGTTTGGCTGATGCTCCTGGTTAAGCTGACAAAGTTTAGATTTCTGAACACCAGCGTCAAACGCTTGGTTGCCCTGACACCAGGATGAAGTCGCCTAATGCTGCCCCCCATAGACATTGCATGTATGAGATCATTTGACTCCCTGAATGCATTCGGTGTGAATGCACATTGGCTGCTGAAGGGTGCAAGTTGGTTGTTTAATTATGTGTTTTGTTTTTAAAGTCACACATTTATTTACTCCATATTATTTGATTTCATTTTTAAAGAAAAAAAATCAAAACTCACAAAAATACCTTATTGTTAGAGCTATAATACTGTACTGTAAGCACACGAAGAAGCAAATATTTCATAGGGGAGGACAAAAAGCTCTGTCTGTATAGCTGTTCAAGTTAACTGGAAGCTATAGTGAGACCATAACCCATACGGGTTGCTGCAGTCGCTCTCCTCTAAGCAGTTCATCAAATTGAAGCCTCTTAACACTGGAAACAGGATAAAACATAAACTGCAAATACTTTAAGCTAAAGTAGCTAGCTTTAACATTATAAAATACAGTACAGTTTATTGTTCTGTTACTACAGTAGTAGTGGTTTAAAAGTTTCCCTTCAGACTGAAAGCCAACTGAATGGCCAAGCTCCGGCCAAATTCCCTTCAAATTCCACCTGCTGGAATGGCCCCGCTCTTTCTGCTGGGAGTATCAGTGTTTACTGTAACTCCACCCATAGGCATTGCAGCTGGTTTACACTCTGGCAGCTTAGGGTTTTGGCCTGACTGAAAACATAACCGCAGGGAATTACATTACCCCCATGGACCTGATGGTTACCAGCGAAGGACCAGTTAAGGGCCCATGAAGCAAACAGGAGAACTTTTAAACAGCAACTATGGTATCTGACTGCAACAAAATATCCACCCACCTCATTTACTTTGGCCTCATAAAGTCAAACCTGTTACCCTATTTTAAATAGCTAAAAGTCTAGTAATCACTGCTCAAAACAGCACCACATAATTCTCATCAGACAGTATAACACTTTAATCTTTGACTAAATGACCAACAGTTAAGGTTAAAAAAGGAAAAACCATATAGGGTTTGTTGATATTTCATGCACTTAAGAAAAAAAAAAGTTCTAAGATTTTTTTTTATCTTAAAAACATCATGAAAATTATGATTAAAGCAATTTTTGAAAAGACTGACAGATACTTCATGACTTTTCATTTTTTCAACATATTCACACATTTAACTTAGCTGACAGTTCAATCCTACACTATAAAAATGTACCTCAAGGAAAAATACTTTATCTGTCTCCTTCACAGCGCAGAAACATCATACCCCTGATTAAATTTCACTAAGAGATGCCAGGCGTGATTTCTAAGTACGTCTACAAAATGAGTACTGATGTGAAGATGCTGCAAAGATACAGGCTTTTTCCTCTATTCAAGCAATCCCACAGTGTAAAGTATCCTATTGCCAGTAACCTGCTCTCACTCTCCACCCCTGCGTTCATCATTCCTCACAGTTCCTGCCATAACGCCTCAAATCTTATCCACACGCCTTCTGCCTGACTGTGAAAAATGGGATCCATCACTGAGTTGCTGGGGGTGGTCCACATTTCCCTAATCTCCACTGCCCCGTCTCCCTTTAAAATGGATTATATCTTTTTTTCCACCACAAAAAGAAGGTCATAAAGAAGTTTTTCCATACTGGACATGGCTGTAAATGAGAATCCCCAACTATTTTACCTACAAAAACAATTTAAAGTGCACTGCTGATCAATATCACTTTAACCTCTATCTATCTATCTATCTATGCAAATTTGTTGCAAAAGTAAATGAATGATTACAGGATTCTTAAGTTAACAAGGACCCAAAAACTTTCAGAAGAAATACATATAATAGAGCTTATTTATGATGCAGAAAGTCACTGTCGTTTTGTTGCAGAAATCACAGGGAAGCTTCCCATTTTTAGAGGAATCATTATGTAAAAGAGTGTGCACTTCCATAGATTTGAAACACACATCTGAAAAGATAGTCTGATTGTATTGTTCTCTCACCCATTATTTTCTGGCAGTGGTGAAGAGTCTTTAATATTGCAAGCTGAACACGAGAAACAAGACTGAATTATAGAAAGCGTGTGAACAATCAAAGGGCTCGTTCAATAGCAAAAGGAGAACGGTCTGCATCTAATCTTATTGATTTATATGAGACATTGCAGGCGGCCTCTCAATTTTATTATGGGAAAACCCTTAAAAGTCATGAGCAGAGTCAACGATTCTTGGAGAAAATCACTAACCTATGAGATAAACTGTGATCCCGAGGTCACAACAAAGTGAATGACTAAAATTAGATTTCTTCTGTAAATTACAAATATAAAAAAACACTTAAAAAAAACACATAAAATATCAGTTTTGAGAAGAGGAAAATGTTTTGGTTATTACCCTAAATCTTAAGACTATATACTATTTAAACTTTCTAGGGATAATCATCAGCTCTTTAAGCAGAGTAAGTTGGATCAGACAACGATTTTGCACACAACTAAAACTTTGTACCTCTTGGGATCATTAATTCCTCTCATGCAGCAGTAACATATATAATACTTTAGGATTAAATCAATAAAAGAAACTGGAGAGGAAGGCGACTGATAATCTGACTCACAAGGCTAGGCGACTGAAAGGGTCTGTAGAACAATCAGAGCCAAATCCCATCTCTACAGCAAAAAGTCCACAACAGTTATCGTTCACAATCATTAAAAGAACATTGTCAATATAGCTGTTGAGATTTTCAGTATTTTTTTAAAGAAATATTGTAAAGATGGCAATATTTGTAGGATATAACAAATGTTTCTGTATAACTATTAGAAGAAGAGTATTATCAATATTTGTACTGCTTTTGTTCTACTTTATATTCAGGATTTAAGCCCATGTGAGCTTATTTTGATTTTTTTAATGACTGAAATCCAGAAATATATACGTAAAATGGTAAAAGAAAAAGGAAAATCTCAAAGCAACTGAAAACACATCTGAAAATTGCTAAAGACCAATGGCCATATGGTTAGAACCAGACTAGGCAACCTTTTCTACCCAATCATAGCGATTAATCCAATTTAGGAGGTGCCTGAATGAAACTTATCAACAAAAAAAAAAATGTCCGTAAAAAAACAAAACAAAAAACAAAAGCGTTAAAGGACGTTGAGTTAAAACATTATACAATATTTGCACTTATGGCTGCAGTCAAAGACCCATTCTTTTTAGTGTGGACAGCAGGAAAGGTTTTTGCAACAAAAAAAAAAAAATGTTGTTAAAAATGCAAAACTAGCAGGTTATTAATAGAATACTGTTGAGATAAGCAGAATATTTTTTTCTCATTAAAAAAAATGTTTTTATCCTCAAAAACAAGCTATGGTCTGGTTTTTTAGAAAAGAAAAATGTATCACATCCTCCTCACTTAGGGAGTATCCACAACTCCCTAAGTGAGGAGGATGCTACATATTGTCCACTTTAAACAGACCAGACACAGACTGCCAGACACAATAAAAAATAAATCCAGAAATCACAATATATGATTTTATAACTTTTAACTTGTATAATACAACTGCAAGTAAGTATTTGAACACCTGTCTATCAGCTAGAAAAGAAATCTAAATTAGATGCATCTGTCTGAGGTCGTTATCTGCATAAGTGTACCTATTAAGCCCAAACACTCGGTAAGAATCCAACTACTAACATGGCCATTACCAAAGTGTCAAGAGACACTAGAGACAAAATTGCACACCTCCACAAGGCTTGAAAGGTATACAGGGAAATTGCCAAGGAACTTGGTAAAGAAAGGCCCACTGTTGGAGCAATCATTAGAAAATGGAAGAACTTAATCATGACCGGCAATTTCCCTCTGACTGGGGCTCAATGCAAGATCTCACCTCGTGGGTCTCAATGATCCTAAGAAAGGTAAAAAAAATAAGCCCAGAACTACATGAAAAGAGCTGGTCAATTACCTAAAAAAAAGCTGGGACCACCGTTTCCATGGTTACTTTTGGTAATAGACTAAGACGTCATGGTTTGAAATCATGTATTGGCACTGGGGTTCCCTTGTTTAGAGCAGCGCATGACAAGCCCCATCTTAAGTTTGCCGATGACTATTTGGATGATCCAGAGGAGTCATGGAAGAAAGTCATGTAACTTTTTGGTCATAATTCCACTAACCGTGTTTGGAGGAAGAAAAATTATGAGTCCCATCCCAAGAACATAATTCCTACTGTGAAGCATGGGGGCGACTGCACTGTATTAAAGAGAGCATAACCAGCCATGTTGTGGGAGATTCTGGGGAACAGCCTCCTTCCCTCAGAACATTGAAGATGGATTGAGTCTGGGTCTTCTAACATGACAAAAACCCGAAGCACACAGCCAGGATAACCAAGGAGTGGCTCTGTAAGAAACATATCAAGGCTCTGTTGTGGCCTATCCAGTCTCCAGACCTTAACCCAATAGAGAAACTTTGGAGGAAGCTCAAACTCCATGTTTCTCACTGACAGCCCAGAAACCTGACTGATCTAGAAAAGATCTCTGTGTAGGAGTGGGCCAAAATCCCTCCTGCTGTGTGTGGAAAACTGGTGAAAAACTACAGGAAAAGCTTGACCTCTGCAATTGCAAAAAAAAGGCTACCGTACCAAATAATAACACTGATTTTTTTCAGCTGTTCAAATACTTATTTGGAGCTGTATCATACAAATATGTAGTTACAGCATACCTCTCACAGCGGACATGCACCTACGAAGATAATTTCAGACCCCTCCATGATTTCTAAGTTGGAGAACTTTATATATATATATATATATATATATATATATATATATATATATCTTTCGTCTGTATTTTTACTTGAGCTAACCATTATTCAATTACAAAATAAGTTGATGATTATTTCAATAATCGAGGAATCTTGATTAGTCCAATTAATTGTTTCAGCCCTAGTGAGAACTACAGTGAAGTCATATTTCCTATTTTCACACCCAGTTTAAAGCATCATGCAAACCTAAACCTTTTAACAATTCAAGGACAGTAATTGCATTCCGCTTCGGACACCAACTAGTCTACAGAGTGATAAATCATGCGGTATACGAGCACTTTAAGTGGATATATGATACTGACATGTTCATGCGCGAACACACTACAGTACAGAGAGTGGAACTACAGGAGATGGAAATAGGAGCGGCTTAGCATCCATTAATGCACGGCAGATGGGAGTTAATCCTCTTCTTTCTCATTGTGATTATTGCTTCCTGCAAGACGCCCTCTCCTCTTTCTCTTTCATTTTCCTCCTGCCCCTAAGCCTCCCAAAATAACTTCCCTGAATACAGGTCAGGAGTTACATAGAAATAATCCATATTTACACATTCGCAGACTCAAGTCACATAAATTCCTTTAATGTGACAAAATGTGGATGGAGACCCCCTGAAGTGATTTCTGCTCTGAATTTTTCTTACCAGCTGTAAAGCTGGGCTTTTACCATGCAATCAAAGGGTCATGCCTTTGTTATCGTCTAGATTACCATTAACAGAATAAGCCATTTACAACACAATCTGTAGTTCCTATTCTTTTACAGTAACAGTGTTATTGCCTGGTTAGCTTACTGATTTTTATTAGAGATTTATGAACTAAATTATATAATAATAAATAATAATACATAATTGAACTTTATTTATCTCACATTGGAGAAATTTACCTCTGCATTTAACAAATTCACTTGGGGAGCAGTAGGCCACCATTGTGTGGCCCCTGGGGAGCAGTGTTGGCTTAAGGGTTTTGCTCAGAGACCCAGAGTTTAGACTGTGGGGATCAAATCGGTTACTTGCAACCTTCTCAGAGCACAAGCGCAATGCTCTAACCACTAGGCCAACACTCCCCCAAATTCCAAAACCAAACTATTAATTCTCTATTTGATGTTGGGAATCATTTTATAAAACTACGTCTAACTTACATGATTGATTAGTTTAATGTTAAAGTAAACACTTGCTGCAGAGGGAGTGTTATTATGCTGTACACTTTCCCACATGACATGTTCAATATTTAAGATGTAGATTTTAGAGCAGAGGTTGGCAGGCTTCTCTCACCAGACTGTTGATACCATCCAGAGTGTGATTGGCATTGTAGAGGGAGTAGGTCAGCTGGTAGATGCCATCATTGGTCTCGCTGTTCCCATAGAAACCCACTCCTACAGCAGAACTGCAATGGATGGAGAAATTAAGAGGAAAGGAAATTATTCCATTCATTTTTGCTTTGATAGACTTAAACTTACAAATTAAACTCCATATCTTTCCATACAATTCCAATATCCAGGTGTTCTGCAAATTACAATTTAATGTTTAACCAAAAAAAGATTTCACAGGAGTTACTGACTGCTGAATCCTCATTTGCTTTCAAACTGGCAAGTGAGAATGTAGCTCAGTGGGATACAACAAATCCATATTTCTCACCTTGGGTTTTCTGGGACTGTGCTAAACCTTCTGATCCACCCTACTTCCACTATAAATACATATTTTTTTCTTTTTGAAGTGATAACCCATTCACATCGTTGTGTCTTAAAAATTAGATTTTCATATTGTGGCCGTTGTCATTAGCTACAGTATAGGACCAGATGCTGCTTTTCTGCATAAAATAAAAGCAGATCATTTTACAAATGTTTATTTGAAATAATTTTGTTTTGATACTGTGATATTATGAAAGTGAAATTTATCCATAAGGTTTTGATAACATGAGAGTCTAATATTTATTCTCAGGATTAACTTTCTCAGGTTAACTTTCATGTATCATCTTGTTTTGCAAATCTGAAAAAAATAAAAAAGTATTGTGTCTTCGCCTAAAAGTTGATGGATGTTGTTTTGAGTTGTGTTCTCATTTGTTTTGCACCATTTACAAAAAAAAAAAAAAAAAAAAATTCTTGTCTCTCATTTAATTATGAAAAGGGACAAGAAGTGCATTTTAAATACAATCAAATCTAACCAGAAAGGACACAATTAGAGTGGTCTATGTAAGTTCAGTTTCACGGATGAGTTTGAAAAAAAAAAAAACTCAATTGAGTTTGTTTAAAAGAAGCCACGCAATCCTGCTTTATGCTTTTCAAAGCTTCTGTTTAAGCTGATAAGTGTTGGCCTTCACAATAAGCTCTTCATTAACCCTGCTGCCAAGATGACACATCAGCAACAACGAGGAGCATCTAATGACTCAGTAATGAAACAATAATGAGGCACGCTGAACATCATAGGGCAGTTGTGCCTCTAGGGATGCATTTGGAGTTTTGTGACTGTGCAAAACCCTCCCTGTAGCAACCAGAGGATATAAAATAAAGGAAAACAATAAAGTATAGGATATGGAGATGCCAGTGTAGACAAGAAATTGCCTTTTCTTTTATGCAAGGAGCTTAAGAAACAGCCACTAGTAGAAAAAAAAGAACTCCAAACTTCATTAGATGCAGCAGGAACCAAGACAAGGAAGGGGATTTTTTTTTAAATATTGAATTTATAACTAAATTGAATTTTCCCCAATCATTTAGCAAGAAAAAAAACATTAAGGGATGTGCTTTGCCTTTTAAAGCTGTGATTCTAATTAAATGTAGTAACTGCAAAGCTAGTGAATGGGTCATCAACAGAACTTTCTTTGTTGTGTGTGTTTTTTTTTTTTTATGTTTTTCAAAATGCAGACATATTCTGTATATCTCATAAGGATCCCATGATCACACAGTTGTAAAGTTAGCATAGTTAACATCTGATCCTGCAATCTTATTCATCCATTTCTTTTTCTTATTTTTCTACTGATGTGCATCTGAGCTACAGTACCATTTACCTGTTACAACATTTGCACCTTAATGTCTCCATGCACTTGAAGGTCTACTGTCCAGTTTTCACTGTGACCAACGGATAGCACTATCAGGCATAAAAGGAGTATGATCTTCTTTTAAATACACCACGTGGACTCTTGAGGGTTACATCGGAATCCAGTCAACTATGACCATTTCCCAAAAATTGTTGTCTGGAAAAAAAAAAAATTGCCAATCCCTGAAACCGCCAACCACCTTTTCAAAAATTGAATAAAGTAAAGTCAACTGCAGTAAATTAAAGGGGAGAGTATTGCCAAGGGTGTCGCGATACAATACTCATCACAATACTTGGGTTACAATACAATATTATCATAAAATATTGCTAAATATTGCTAAAATTAAATGTAGGGATAAAAAAAAGAAAGTGCTGTATTCGTTCATCAGAAGATATTGATCATTCGATTATTTTGCTGTTTTGGTATCCATATGTGGGGTTTGAATAAGTCTGTGTCTGCCACTGTGACTGCCTCTACTACAGAAATTGTGCCACGCAGCCAAAGGGCTCCGCAGCGCCAAGGTGGTGAGAGGTGGTGCAGAAGTTGCACATTTTCCCCCAAATTGTGTTATAAAAGTATTTTTTTATCCAATATTACGAGCTTAAATATCGATATTATATCAGGCATCTGAAAATCGCGATGTATTGCCAAATCTATTTTTCTTCCCCACACCCCTAATAAATTTCATGTAGTTATAAAATAAACTATAATCTCATTATAAACACAAACACTACCTTCAAATGGTAATTCATTATTTCAAGATAACCTGTTTACTTTACAATGTTGCAAAATACAATTGAAAAATCTTGTTTAAAAATACCTTTTAAACTAAATAATTAATTCCTTTTCTTCTTAACAAGCCCCCCTTCAATTAAACCCCACCGCCCCAACCTTGGGTCAAGCTCCTCTTTTTGGGAAACCTCCAAATTTAGGGGTTAAAAATAAAATACTATATGTTTTCGACCTTTGGAAAACCTTATGATCAAAGAAAACTAGCAGTAAGTAAGGCAAAATTTAGCTCAGATATGCTACTTTTATCTGTAAGGTGCCACATTTTTACAAAAGTCACCACAACACATATACTGTAACATAGAGAGGCCAAAAACAACATTGAATAACAACATCACGCCCAGTTACTTAGAATCACAACCAGCCTCATGTGCTGTAGTAGCTGTTAGGTATAGCTAAAGGGAGCTAATAAAGTTAAAGCCCAATGCTGTCACAAGCTTAATTGGATTAGTGCTCCAATTCAATTAAGTGATTTTTAGACCTTGTTCTTCTGCCTTAATATAGTTCTTCTGCTTTGAATCATATTCAAAACTAAATATATTTATATTGTTTGAAATTCTGGAATCTAAATAAAAGTTCCTTTCTCATTTTAAGTTAAAGAAATATTTCACAAAACCCAACTTTCCCATCTTGATTCAAGTACTCCTAAATGTATTCCTTAATATAACTCTTATGTAATGTGAGGAGGCAGAATTTAATTAACAGATAGCACAAGTCACACACCAATATCTTACTCAATTATCTTCATAATATAAAAGCTAATATGCAGGAAAAAAGCAAACTGCCACAACAACTTTTCCAAACAGAAAAGACTTGGAAAGACTTTCAGCCTTTTTCTTAAAAGATAAGCCTGCTGCTTTTCACTGCAAAGACATCCCTGCGTAAAATGATTGGCATTGCCATAAGATTTTTTGCAATCAATCCTCCTACTCCAACAGATAACTGAGGATTTATATTTTACTCAGGTGTGTGGATTTGCTTAATTTATTCTTTGAAACACTGTAATGCACTTTACAATTTGTTCTTTCAAAGTTTTGCATTGCTATAGGAATATACATCTAAGGGCCTTTTACTGAGGCACAGGACACAATCCTAAATTCAGATTTGCTGCTGAAATCCAATCTTTTTTTTTACCCTTGTCCTTCATATTACTAATTAAATTTGACCTCGATCAGACTTCAGTCTGAATGGTTGAGGACAGAATGATCCATGCAGAAAAAGAATAAACACATAACACAGCAGGGCACTGTTCACAGAAGTCATGATGGAAGTATCCTTCATTAGTAGTGTTCAAAAAAGGTGGGTGAAAAAACTATCAGATAAGTATCCGGTTTGTTAATACATATTTAAGATGCTCAAACTGGATATTTTGGGCTTTGAAGTAAAGCCTAATTCAATTAGAATCTATGCCAAAATTGTACATGTCAAGAGGAATTTGTACTTTTGCAGTATATATAATGATGCACATGCCTGTTGATGAATGAAGAAATGAGTAACGCATGCGAGAGCATGAACGAGCCAATTTTTCCTCATGCAAGCTGTTTAAAAGTTCCTGTTGGCATCACTTATAAACTTACTTTCCAAAAGAAGATTTGCAATTTTTCCACTATGTCAGACTCACCACCGGTAAGTGAAAATCGGGATGATTGACAATTAGGAGGACCACTATTTTGATGATCCACCAGGAAAAAGAAAATCCTCCATTATACCTTTAAGGCAACATAATGCACTTGTTTTGTGAAGTTTGATTTGATGCTTGGTAATACATATGGGCCATTAGTTTAGCCACCAAAGGTGGTAGTAAAAATATGTTGAAGTGAAATATGTTGAAGAAAGAACAATGTGAACAATGGCAATATGTAAGCATCAAAGGAGCCAATAGCTTTAGTATAATAGTTATTATTGTCTCTAAAAAAAAACAACATTTAGAATTCATTTTGTCACCACCTGCCCACACACTCATCTTGTGTCAAAGATACCCATCGACTTCCATTCATGTCCCATTAATTGCTATGGCCTAACTTAGTACCTTAACATAACCATTACCAAAACATACCTAGGGTCCATTTCACGAAGCCTGTTTAACAAACACAGATTCAAATCCGCAACTCTAAATTGATCTAGCCTAAGGCCGGGAACTCTGAGTTTTCGGTTTTACAATGGCTGCTATGAATTAGTTCAATCAACTCTAAGTAGAACCACTCAGAGTTTAGCATGTGTGTAACAAGTTTAAAAGCCATCATCAGTGGGGATCCGATTCGACGAGTCACAATGACAACAAGCTACAGGAACCCCACTGGAATTGGAGATTTTAATGGAGAAATACAACAAAAAAATGTGCCAGAGAAACAGAGCTACAGCTGCAAAGGAGAGGAATATGGTGAAGGAGAAGGTTGTTGCTCGAGTAAATGTATAAGTTTATATTGAGTGACTATGGCAGGCCGATTTTATATTTAATAAAAACACTGCTCTCTGTTGTTCCATTTGTAGATCACTAAAATAAGATTCTTCCTGATTAAAATCGCACTCCTGCACCTAACACTAATAATATATTTCCTAAATTACATTTTTGCAGCAGAAACTGAAATTTAAAGAAGTAAAAATAAATAAATAAATAAAAACTAATTTACACTAGTAAGAATTAAGTTTTATATACCTAGAAATGTTTACACATTTTAAGTTGCTCTTTTGACATTTATCAGCTTGACTGAATATGTATTTACAGTAGTAGCAATTCAAAGATCCCTCACTTTCCTTGATGGGCCCCTTGGCTGGTCCCCTATAATTCCTTTTTAAGCATCAATCTTTGTACTACAACATTCTTTCTGTCATAATTTTGGAACATTAACATCTTAAGAGATGCCTCATCTCCTGGTCAGACCCTGTAATTCGGTGAAAGGGTGGAGTCGGAGTAAGAAAAAATATGCATGCCCAGGAGAAGGAGGGGGTCACTCCAGTGGCTAGAAGTTTGAAGGGATTTGGCTCGGAGTCCCAGGGGAGTAGGTTTTCATTCAGCTGGCATTTGACTGGGAAGGGCTATGTTGAATGGCTGCTACTCTATGATAATCAAAATAATACAAATGAAACACAGTAACAATTTCTAGACATCCGGAATATTCATTCTAGAGTGAAGAATCTCATTTTGTTTGAAATAGTCATTTTGACAAGGAAAACATAATTTTTTTCCAGATATCAGGAATACATATTCAGTAAAATTAATACATATCAAAAAGGCTTGCCATAGTCTCTTGTGACCTCAATAACGTTTATTTCTTGAAGGGTAGCGGATCAGTGTATCTATTTAGGGGAAAGCATATGGCAGCAGGAGAGGATGAAGTCTAAAAACATTGTTCTAATAGATAGAACATAGTAATTGTCTCATGGGGTTCTTTTTCCACTTCAGATGTTATCATCCCAAAGACTTGTCATTATTAGTGGTCAGTTCTATAGAATGGCTTCAGATTGTGCCAGTAGGCTCAGTAGGCTGTCATTACTGAATGAATTTAATTAATATATTTATGTGTAATCTGAAAATAATTTCAGTAGTTCTTCTGTAAAAATATAAACAAAGATAAAATGATCCATATCTCGCTCATATTAAACAAACCAAAAACAAGTAATCTCATTCCCTGTCAACTGAGTTGCAGCATCCTTTCCCCATAAATATTACATTTTCTGTGAAAAAGTGCTGATCATTCTTAAATAAGATCCTTGTCAAACAGACGTGCAATGTTTGTTGTAAAAGCTAACGTGTCTAGACCGACTGAATAATTTTTTTATGCACAAAACTGACAAAAATCTGACTAAATCAGGAAATAAAATAACGGGGCTGTAAAGAGAGCGAAGACAGAGGACCCCTCGCGAGTTTGCTCAACAAAACCTACTCCCGACCAGGTTAGCTCTGAGGAGAATGTTACTACGACGACTGAAACAGTGGTGGAGGAAACTCTCTTTGTGAAATGGAAAACTCAGAGTTTCCCATATTTCAGGTTTAGAAAAGAGTTTTCAGAAAACCTGCTTTTTGAAACGGACCCCTGATCTTAAACCTGACCTTAACTAAATTCACATCTTAGTCCTTAACCTAACCCTCACCCTAAGAAGAGAACATCTCCTCATAGGGACCAGTCGCTATTCCCCACAAGTACCTATAAGCCCCCAAAACTTCCTCAAAAAGGGTAATAAGAATATGGTCAAACGAGCACAAACTCCAAACAAGCCCCCCCAAATCCAATCTTATTGTCAAAGAAATAAGCAACCTCCTGAAGGGTTATTGCCCTTTTTGTGAATCCTCTAATAAAAAAGGACTAATTTTGGATAGTACTAAACTACAGTAAACTATCCTGTTAGAGTGGAGGCCTTTCTTAAAAACAAAGATCCTTGGGTCAATAAAAACTAAGCAATTAGCCCTGATTGATGGCACACCCCTAAGGAGATGACAAGTAGAGCACTGGGAGATTTCCAGGTAGTCTTTGCTGCTCTAATAGAGCTACTCATCCACAATGCAGGATGAATACAAAGCAACACATTCTGTGAGGTTAAGGGGTTTAAAACAACAGATGCCCTGATATATGTGAAGCAAGTGTATCTAAGGTCATCTCAAAAAGCTTTAAAGGCAATAAATAAAACTCTAAACTTCATTACAGGGTTTCTGTTGTAATGCATTAATGCCTATTTCAGAGCAAATTAGATTTAAGGAATTAGTACAGAACTAATCCAGATGAAACCTGTCCTGACCCCTCAAAGAGATGGTTAGTGTCTGTGTAGAAAATGTAGTGGAAAATGGGCATTTTGGTGTAGTTTTGGAAAACAAATCAAACCACAATACAGATAAGTACTTTTACTCACCATATTATGAGACCTGTGATTACCGCCACCCATGTGACACAACAGGTATCGGGCCGTTTGGTTCCTTCATCCAGGCTCCGTCGGCAGCAGCATAAACATACCAAGTACAGGGTCAGGGCAAGGAGGCTCAGGCCGAGGCCAATGGCACCAACACAAGCCAGAAATATTAGAGACTGAAAAGTAAGAGAAGGAGTAAGAGAAGATACCATTAGTGAAATTGGTAGTTGTCATGTATTTTTCATTTGTTTATGAAGACTGAACCAAGTTTCTCAGCAAATCTTATGAAACTTCATACCACAGCAACCTTGTGGTTGATTTGATGAAGCCACACTTCATAAGTCAAATAACAAAGCAGATCCTTCATTTTTATCTACATGATATCTGCTGACTGTTGACCACGGAAAACAAGAACAACAACAAAAAAAAACCTCTGTGGTCTTGGGGGAGATACATTTTCCAAATAATCCAGATTTTTCTGCAACGTTTATCAGCAATATTTAGAATGTAGCTGAAAGGGAAGCAAAAATTATCCAGGGCCTTTGGAGGGGAGCATCATGTGACACCAGTCTTGTGATTTCTGAATGTGCAAAGTATTTCAAGCCTGAAGGATGAACACACGCAGGAAAAAAAAAAACACTGATGCAGAAAAAAAGAAAATGAAATTATACAACGAAAAAAGCCTTTAAAAAAAAACTACTCATGAAAAACATTTCATAGCTGGGAATATGGGACTTGAGACTCAAATTATTATAGCACTAGATTCGCTTCAAAGACATGACAAAAGCATGACCCTAATTGCACTTGCAAATAGTTTGCTTTGCAAATATCAATGCCCAGGAGTTCAAAGTGGCTGTTTGACTGATGATTGATTTTACACCTTCATCTCTGACTAATTATTACATTCGGATTCGACTGGCACTGCAATTGAAGTGAAATTACAATTTTTTTCATCCTAAGAAAGCTTTCCATGAGGGTTCCAACACATTTTCAGTGACAAAATTCAGAATTTCTTATAGAGACATGCACACTTTTGTTAGGGAGGGAGGGACGGACAGAAAGACAGAGGGACGGAAGGAGAAAGGTCTGTAAAGGATCCACACCAATACTTCCCCAGACTGCAAAGAAATCTGGTCTTATTGTAAACTTGTTTGAAGCTGCGGCTTTTGCCCCGATCTTACACTGATAAATTTAGTTTTTAAACTGATTTCAAACTGTTCAAACTTTTAAGTTTAGATACACTTAACCAATCCAAACAATAATCAAAGGACAGCTGGACTGGTCTTATCTTACATTCCATTTAGATCAAACTGCTAATCCAATGATTTGCAAAATGTTTTGTAGAGGTCACTGCAGATAAACCAGAAACTAATTCATGATGGGTTCACACCGGGCTGAGTTTCTGCCACAACATCTCAGCTCAACAATGCTGCTTCTTCTTACTCCTCCAATTTTCCACTCAATTGTTTGGTAATTACAAATGTTGACACTTCAATTTCCATCGCTTGCAAGGCCCATAAGAAGCAAACAGCTGCATGATGGGGAGGGAGCAGGACGACAAATACTAAACAAAAACCATTGAACTGTCATTAACGATATTAGGGGGAAAAGAAAGATTCAATTAAAATCACAAAAGTGCTGAGTCATTAGTGTGTAATATTTTCTACATTTCTCAAAGAACTTGCCTTTCTGTGTGAGAGATATATGTAAATGTAAATCATTTTATTGTCCCACAAAGGGGAAATTCACTTTCTCCATTTCCCATCCCCTTGGGGAACAGTGGGCTGCCATTCTGCGGGGCCCGGGGAGCAGAGTGAGGTTAAGGGTTTTGCTCAGGAACCCAGAGTGGTTGTGGGGATCAAACCAGGTACATGCAACCACTGCTCCAACCACTAGGCCAACAGGTTTAACAACAGGAAGAGATTAAAAAAAAAAAAAAAAGTGTTTAGCTTGTGAAAGCAATACAAAGATTTGAAAAGTATATATAACATCTGAAACTTTTTTCAGCTTAAAAAGAAGTTAAATTACTGATTGGAGCTGAACATTTTGGAACAAAACAAATTAGCATGTTATTGTATTTGTAGAATTTTTCTGTCAAGAAGGAAAACAAAATATTAGAGAACTAATATAAAATGGAGCACACAGTCAAATAAAAGGTGGAGAACTGTGGCTTCTACTGAACATTACAATTACAGAGCTTGTTTCAATACAGCAGCTATTAAAACCAAAGGAAGTAAGAGCTATATTACATTATGCAAAGTACTTAATTTCCTATCTGCAATTTAGCTTTTCCTAAAACTGTCTGTTTTTTTTTTTATTTTAGATTTGATTGGATATGCATTACAAGCATCTCAAGGAGGATGTTTTTGTTTTGTTTTTAAAGCTGGATGTTGCCAATGAGTTTTAGTAATGAGGGGTTTAGCTTTCAGAAATGAGAAAACTTTAAAATACTTTTGTAGTGTCCAGAATGGTGATACCAGATTAGATAAAAAATTTTATTTTAAAAATGAAATTGAAAGTGTAATATCCATGGAGAGGGAAAAAAAGTGTCTTTTTGGAATAAAGTTATGAAAGTCATTGCATATATGCAGAATACAATTATAAAAAAAATAAAAAAAAATATGTTTAATCTGCATCATGAATTATATCCTGGATAGTTGCAATGTTGTTGTTTAATGGATTTAAAAATATATGTAAAACATACATAGATTATAAATATCTTTATATTATAAAATAAAATAATATAAGGGCATTGTCACTTCTTTACCAGCATTTATAATACAGGTCATGTGTTATCATGTGAGGAATGGCAGCTCAGCATGGGTTCCCACTTCCTGATAGATCCAAAAATCTAAAAGCGCTCCACAGAAATTCTGCTGTGATGAAAAGATAGGAAGTGTGTCTGAGAGAGAAACCTTTATTTCCCAACACAGCAGTTTAAACCGCTCTCCAACTAAATATAGGCTGTCTAGATGTAACATTTACATATGAAAGCCGGGTGTTCAGCAATAAAATACGTGCGCTTTTACGCACAAGTACAGTTACCAACCTGCTGATAGTTTGCCTCCTCCGGTCTGAAAGTGTTGTCGACCGACTGGAAAAGAAAATTGAAGTGTGGGAAATTGTGCAGCCAGTATGTCCACCACGGAGCCACGTAATCAAGCCGAGCTGTGGCCATTACTGCTTGGAGAGTCAATCCAACAAAGCTGTGAAACAAGTCCCTTGGTTTGGAAAAAATATATATATATGGACAAAAAGAAAAAAAAAAAGTAAGATTTGATAAAAAAAAAAAAAAAAAAAGTAATGATTAAGAGATATAAATTCTATTTACTGCAAATTTAAAATGTGGAAAAATGTGTTCGCTTTCAGTTCCCATGGCTGCCAAGCATAAATAAAAACTGTATATTTACATCCAGTGTGAACCTGCCTCCTAGTCTGTGGAAAGGCGTGACAGCAATCTCAGTCCTGTGGACAAGGCGTCTTTACCCCACTCACAAAAAAACAAGAAAAGTGAGACAAGTCAGCAAAAAGGGCCTGCTGACATTCTGCGCTGGAAAAAAATATTGGATAAAAACCATATGAAAAAACTGGATAATGTAGAGCGATTATAAAGATTAACTTCCTGATCAAACGCTGGTCTCAATGCGGATGTGCCTGGCCTCTTTGTTCCGCTTTATCTCTTTAAACTGATTGTCTTTACAAAGTGAACTACGACTGACTGGACTCATCTGAAGGGGAGTTATGTAAAGAAAGAGATGTTTTATCTCCAAGTGGCTGAGAAAACTTTAGTCTGCAGGGAAACATGCACTGATGGTCCTGCTGCTATTGGTGATTTCTGCTGTTAATGTCTGACCTCTTGTGGACAATAATGTGAACGGTAATGAGTATGTTAATGAGCTGTTAAAGCACTTGCTTTTTTATTTCACTTTTTTTTCTGTTTACTTCTTTAAAGTTGCATTTATAGTTGGATTTAAGGGTTTTTAACAGAAATAAGAACATTTTTTGGTGCTCTGTTACAATATTCACCTCTGAGACAATTTGTATACCTTTAAGCCATATGCTTGTCTCAGACAAGCATATGGCTTAAAGGTATAAAACATTAATTTATTAGCCTATACTGAAATATATACACTTTAGGAGTTCATATACATTTGGGATTTTTGAATATATATTTCCTGGACCAGAGAGAATATACACAATCAGTGAGAACCCACCCCTGCCATTTTGGCTAAATTGGACTTATCTAATTAAAGGGAAAAAATATGTTTTTGTAGCCATCAGCAAGGAGCTGTTATATTTTTATTCATTTTTTTGGCCAATCTATTTATCTGAATCCATAGAGAAAATTTTAATTGAGTTAGTTTCCTACAGTAAGTCAAATCCAATTGGCAAAGCACACACATGTTCAGCATGGTTGGTTGAGCAGCTTCTCCAGCAGCATCAGGTTGGACTGCACACTCATTCCAAAACCTGTTTTTATGTCCTTTTGTGATCAATATCTGGTTTGAACATCCAGCCGTGTCCATGTTCCAACGATTGACGTGATTTGAGGAAAAGTTTAAGGATGTGAATTTATTCCTCCATCTAATTACTGCTGGCAGAGAAACAGACTCCTAGCATGAGGCTACCACCACAGTGTACAGTTGGCACAACTTGCTGTACTTTCACTCCTTCAAACCTTCTTCTTGTCATGGCCAAAATGATCATTTTAAATTGAAATGACATTTGAGAAATTTACCTCTGGCTTTAACCCATCCCCTTGGGGAGCAGTGGGCTGCCATCGTGCAGCGCCCGGGCAGCAGGGTGGGGTTAAGTGTCTTGCTCAGGGACCCAGAGTGGCAGTCTGTGGGAGTGGGTTTCAAACCCAGAACCTCAGGGTTCCAAGCTCTATGCCCTAACCACTACGCCGCCACTCCCAACCTTTGTCTCCACTGACCAAAATTTGTTCTTCTAGAAGGGTTCTGGATTGACCACGAAGGCAGCTATAATTTTCAGTTTAAAATTTTTTTATTACGTATAAAGAGGAGGTTTCCTCCTTGATCAGCATCATCTCAGTCAAAGGCAATATTTAACACTCTAGACAAAAGACATTGTGTTCTAGCAACTTCCTGTTTTTGAAAGATTTGAACTTTCAAGGGTTATGGGGTTTTCCAGAAATATTGTTTAATTTTTTTGCCTTTGGCAGATGGTTTTATTCAGGCAACTTGCAAATAAGAAATAAAGCAATACTGTTAAAATATTTAATATTTAATGAATGACAGGGGTCCATCTATGCACAGAATATCTACACTAGATAAGACATGATGGACTTTATTGATCTCACAGTGGAGAAATTAACTTTTCACATCGGCTCAATAGTCAAAAGGTGCCAAAAGGAGGAAAATGTGCATGGGGTATGTACAGTGCGTCCACTTCTATACAGTGGATCAAGAAAAAATAAAAATAAATAGGGTGGAGATTTAAGGTGATTTATGTACTGCTGAAGTATCCTATTTAACAGGATTTTTTCACAGGTTATTGCAAACCTATTCCCCAATTATTGATTTTGAAATTTGTTACAGTTTTAAATTGTTTAATAAATAAATTAATTAATTATTTCACCTTGGAATAAGTAGGGTTCATTAAAAGCTAAAAAACATAAATAAACTCTAATACACAATGAGTATATTTAAACGTCTAACTAAAATTGTAACTAAAGCATTGATTTATTTATCATATATCTTATTGTTCGCTTATTGGTCTAAAATATTTACTCATTAATTGACCGCTTTGTGTTTCTCTGAGCTTTAAATGTGACGTGGCACAGGGTCTAATTCTGCAATCTAGTCTTAAAGTGGGGGAGATAAAACAAATATGGACAGATATGTGTTTTTCTAAATAAGTCAAGGAAGGGTTACAAGAAAATAGCTGCTTTCCCTAACCTGCCCATAACTAATGAGTTACAGCCATAATGCCATTTTTAAAAACTTTAAGAAACACAGCTGAAAAGCTTATCAATTTTACGCAAACAAGCTTATTCATAAAAAAAATCTTTTATGGTTTTGTAAACATTTTTACCACACAGTAAATTAATACAGTTGTGTCTAAAATGACATCATTTTCTCTGGATTGCAGTCTGCTCTTAACATGTTACCCACTATGACAAAATCTGAAGTTAATACCATGACTTTTCAGACTTTCAGCCTCAAAGTGCTTTGAACAGCTTTAAAGTCTACTGACAGAAAAAAAGAAGAAAAAAAAATCTGAAACTGATGCAGTTACAAAGATTGTGAAATAAATTTGCCTGGACACGGCAGAAAAAACATGAATAAATTCAATGTTTTAATTCAAATATATATCCTAAAGCTAAAACAGTGTTAGAAGAAATACATTGGTGTTTAATATTTTGCATGTTGTTGAACAACCGTGCCGTTATCTATAAATGTGTCTAAAATACTTACATTGTGTATGATAACATCACTATCCAAGCTTAAGTAAACAACCAAGCAATGGAAAGTCGCCAAATAAAACAGTCCATTGGCAGATAAAAGGGAAGATGGAAAATATGTCCAAGAAATTGTGCTCTGAGGAAAAGTTGTTTTATCTAAAATGGAACATAGGGTGGTTCACTTTCAAGCTAAACCATCTATCTTGTGGCAACTGTTTTTTTTATTATTGGGTTGCTTTGATGCACCTCCATGGCCCGAATAGCTTGGAAGTGTGCTTTGGGGCTGAATACTAGTAGGTGACAGTTGAAATGCGTCACATGAATATGAATTTCCTTGACTGTGCTCTGCATGCACAAGTAGGAGAGGTTGGTTCTGGATAAGTCTCTTGTGATTCCCATGCCATTCACTCTCAGCATTTGAAACAACTGAGGGGGATCAGTGTAAAACAAAGGAGTGAAATGAATCAAAGCTCCTCTGCATGTCTTTCCTCTGTAATGTGCAGCAATTGATACATTCTTCATCTATTTTTTTTTCTTTCGCAGACATACAAGTAATATCTACACAACACAGATTATAGTAACAATGTCGACTTTAAAGGGACACTGCAGACTTTGTGACCTAAAGAGTTTTCACATGTGATTTATTTTTAAATAATCCTTCAGGCCAATTTACTGTGCTTAGCAATGCTAAAAGCGGGGCTCCCCTCTTGAAATATCGCCTATTTAAATTGGGAGATGATGCACCATCATTGGCCAGGTCATGTGACACTAAAAAGAACGTGTCGCTTTATGCCCCCAGGCTCTTACACAGTCATGGAGCTAAGGCTTTTGCTCTACTATTTTTCCACCAGCTGGACTACTGGTCATGGCTGAGTGAAAGGAAAAAATGTAAACCTTCTGAGGAGCTAAAAAGAGAAAACATGAAAGGGATCTAGCCGGAGGAAAAACAAGAGTTTGTTCATTGGCGCAGGCTGAAATAAGTAGCCAGATGTTAATCCAATTCTCTTTTCTCAACTTTATCATTAGACGTTGCTCCTAGTATACAGACATGTATCTTTGTTATTATTTTTGATGTTTAGTAGAAGGAAAATACAGACAGTTACAGGTCTAATGCCCCTAGTGGCCAAAAGTTAGATGGTGTGGCTCTATAGTACAGATGTCGTAAAACTAAAAGAAAAGTAGTAAATTTCTAATATGTCCTGTACAGTATTTTGTCAGGGGATGTTAACTTAGCCATTAATTACTTTACAGTTAATGAGTTTTGTAAAACTGTAATAGTGTAAGGTTAGAAAATATTTAAATAGAGTTAGACAACTTTTATTGTCGTTATTTCGTTTAGTACAGCTTTTCAGACAGTAAATTAACATTTCCATTTCATAAAGTGCAGTAGTGATCAAATGTAAACTGTGGGAGAAAAAACATGGTGGAAAAAACGCATTGATATGGAAGTTCAGAGCATTAATATGTATGGTGCAAATATGCATTGTTTTTGTTTTAGTGTTATCAGTGTGATGCAGAGTCTGTGACATGATTTTGAGGTTTTTTTTCAACAGTTCAGCAGTCAGGTGGCAGTGGGGAAGAAACTGCTGTAGAATCTGCTGGACCTGCATCGGATGCTGCAAAGCGCCTTCCCAGAGGGCAGCAGGGACCAGCAGGGACCATAGGCAGCAGCGAGAAAAAAATGAATAAATAGCATTTTAGAAAAATGTAAAAATTATGGATAGTCTAAAAAAAGTGAAGACACAGAACTTTTATCATTAAGTTTATAAATAAAACATTAATCATAGTAATGACTTAAGCCAAAGTTA